TAAGGCCCCCCTTAGATGCCTCTATAGCCACTGGCGGTGGTGTCCATGGTGATACCCTTGGGTGTCACTATTTTCCCGAAGGCGTCGCTGAAGAATCTCCTACAACTCGTCACTTGCTACCCTTGGCCCCCTTGCACGTTGTATGGTTGCCGCCATCGGTGGATCCTGTTCTGCTCCATGTGGAGTTTCTCATTGTGCCTATGTGTGCCTATGCTCTTCCTCACAATGGTCGATCTATCCTGTAGTGCTTGACCTTGCCGCTGTCGTTTGGCTTTCATAGAGGATACTTTGCCGCTATCGCTTCTCTCAAGGCAGATGCTTGGCCTTCTTTGTTTTCACTAGCGGATGCTTTGCCGCAGTTGTCGCTGGCTCCTCTCTAGCATATGCTTTGCTGCCAAGAGTATGATGGCCTTTCCTCTCTGCGGATGCTTTGCCACAGTGGATGTCTTCGCTTCTTCCCCGGTGGATGCTCGGCCGTTGGTGGAATCGTTGGTGGATGCTTTGCCTCCATTGGCTCTTTGGTCCCCTCTTTGGTAGATGCTTTGTTGCCAAGAGCGCGCTAGGCCACTGAATCGGATATATGGGCTCGGGGCACCTTCACCGCCCATAATACCCAATCCATGTCTGTCTATCGGGCCGAAGACGATGAGGAATGAGGCCCATGAAGGCCAGGCGAATCCATCAGCATGGAGATCAACTCATTCCGAGGATATCCGATGCCATCGTATCTAGGCAGTAGGATAGAACATTCCATGTAACAAACTAGGAAATCCATATATTAGCCGATTGAATCTAGTGTGACCCTACACCTAGATTGTATAAGGAGGGGTAGGGGCCTCCCAATCGGGATCCCATCTTGATCTACATTCTAACGGATAGCTACACACAGCAGCCCCTGTAATCAAGCATACGAAAATAGAGATAAGCTACTTCAAACTAGACGTAGTGCACCACGTGCCTGAACCAGTATAATCCCTTTGTCTTGTGTGCTACCCATCTAATTCATCTTACGCAAATAGCAATTAGGTATTGTCAGAACTAATTCTTTCGGTAGTTGGCACGCCAGGTGGGGGCTTTCCGCATATAGATTCATTGTGTTTCAAGTTCGACGACAACGCGGAGAGGATGCAGCTAGGCGAGAAGATCACCTTCGGCAACCTGGACACTTCATTGCTGATCAACTAGGAACCTGCACCTGCAAGAACCCGAATCACCCAAGTAGGAGGAGGAACAGCCGCCCCCAGTTTGCACATTCGTTGCTAGACTGGAGGAAGTTGTAGATCGACGGAGGGCCACTCGCCCTCGCCCATTAGCTAAGATGCTACACCCACGACGTCATCGCTGATGACGGTCGAAAGCATGAACTCGACATGGCTCTCTAGATCTAGAATGATCCAAACTAGGTCCCAGAGGCAGATCCATCACCGCTACCTGACCTTGTCTTCCCTAGTTTCCCAACCGAGCTAAGGAATGTGGTGGTGACATATTTAAGCTGGCTTCAATAGGCCATGGTGGTACCCACCAAACCTCGTACCAAGGAACTTCAAGGTCATGGATCAGATCAATCTAGTTGGTCATGCACCGACGAAGACTTCGACCCCTGGTTCATCAGGGCAGTCATCCGCAGCCTCAGCGAAGGAGGCACCAAGCTAGAATAGCCGGTTAATCTAATGACAACATCAATGGTCTCGAGGCTAATCTCTCTGACATTGACCCTATCGAGTACCAGCGCTACCTCGACGAGTATGACCAGCTTGTCCTTGAGTTCGGTCAACTAGACGAAGGGGGGAAGAAGGAGAAGGATGATGGCCACTCACATTTGCACGAGTGTTACATGAATACTCCTGATCGCAATCCTTGCTGGGAAGAGGATAGGAGACACACCCCTGATCAATCCCTTGACTTCATGTCAACATCGATGCCGACCACGAGGTCCTATACAAGACTAGCCATGAGGTCCACGCTCCTCTGCTTAAGAACAACATGCTGGCGGAGGAGAACAGGCGCCTTTATCAACAACTCAAGGGACCATTCGAGGCACAAGGACAGCAGGCCCGCAACAACGCTCAGCAAGCACCTCCACCGCACTCGACAACCGACCAAAACATGGTCGAGGCTCTTCAGGAGGTGGCGGACATGCCCCAACCATCCACCGAGGAAGGACGTCGAGCGCTCCTGAGGATTCAGGAGCTAGTCGCTGCAACGACCGATCAGATACATGAGATAAGTCATGCCTCAGCTTCACGTAGTCGAAGACATCAGCTCTCGGGGGCTCAGGATCAGCCAAGGGAAGGCACATGCAACCATCGGCTGGACTCTCACTTGAATTCCGTCCACAATCGAGTGGGCGGCGGTAGGGATGTGTGCCCAACCATCAATGCACGATGACATGAGAACGAAGCTCGCAACCTTGTACAAGCCGAATGCAATGCCCAAGTGGGTGGCAACGACCGTACCTCCCATCTTGGCAATGGACGTGACCATTCACCAAACGGAAGGAACCCAAGGAATGCCAGGGAGCCAGAGCCCCCTATGGAGGATTACTTAGCAGATTGGATCGGATCCGCCACATTTGGGGATAGAATTTGGGCGACACCAATGCCCATGAAGTTTCGTCGCTCTGAACATTGAGAAGTACAATGTCCAGACAGATACAAAGATTTGGCTCATTAACTACCGACTCGCCATGAAAGTCGCGTCTACACCAGACTCAAACTTAATGATACAGTATCTCCCCTGTTCCTTGCGGACTAAGCCAGGACATGGCTGAACCATCTAGGAGAGAACACCATCAAGAGTTGGGCCGACCTCGAGCGAGAGTTCTACGACCGCTTTGAGGGGGCTTATACTAAGCCTGGCTTGCAATGGGAGCTCTCGGCGTGCAAACGTGAATCGAAGGAAAGTCTATGCGACTACATCACGCGCTTCACCAAGTGCAAAAACCAGTTGCACCACGTCCCCGACTTCAATGTCGTGAACGCCTTCATCACAGGCGTGGGCAATGAAGCCCTCATCCGCGACATCGACGGGAAGAAGAACATCACCGTCAGGGAGATGTTTGACCTCGCTCATGAGCATGTTGATGGGGTAGACGCCGTCAATGTCAGCAACAACAAGTACAAGCCCCACAACAACAACAATGCCGATCCTTCCTCATCTGGGAAGAAGGACCGCAAGCGCAAGGGGGACTTCGTCACCAACGCCGAGAAGAGCGGATGCGGGAAGCAGAAGCAGAACAATCGGGACAAGTTCGACAAGATCATGAACAGTCCCTGCCAGAACCATGGCTTCCCGGTGACCCACCTTGCCAAAGACTGCAACACATACAAGAATCGGATTGCGAAAGAGGGTGAGAAGGAAGTAGCAAGGGACACCACCCTGACAATGGCAAGTGCAGAGATGGTGGGGCGATCGGGATGAGTACTCGAACATCGAGGACACCATGCTCATCTTCGACGGTCCCAAGGCCTACAAGGAAAAGGAGAAAAGAGCATGGAAAGCGGTGCATGTATTTGAATTAGCCCATCCTTAGATTCCATTCACCCTCCGCTGATGCATGACCATACTCATACCAGATAGAATATAATATAGCAAGTTCAACTGTAGTACTAAGTTTGATCCCAAAAGATATTAGAACAGATGGTGCTAGATGTAAATTCCTATGCAACCCATGGGCATATTTGCTATCTATATCTATATCTTTTTCTAATATTAAAAAACGAAAGGTTTCTTCGTCCTTCATCACTTTCAACCTAGCTGTGTTGTTTAGTTTGCAGCGCAAGTTTGACCCATCTATCATGATGACATTCCACACAACATTTCCACAAGCCAAGGGCTAGGCACTTCTCTAGGAAAACGATGGACGAAACCATTCTACCTTGCATGTGGGAGCAACTCATGCCGGATGCGCTCAATCTATGAACCAAACACAATATTACTTACTCCTATTTTTTTACATGTCGTATCGTAAGTCAAGCATTCCTAACTTCGATCATCAATTTAAAAAGAAAAATATATGTAGTTTCATATCATGTAAACTATATATTATGAAAGTATTTCTCAGAATCTAAAAAACATAACTCGTGTGTTATTAACATATACATTTTTTTGAAACTGATGATAAAAAATAGAAATGTTTATTTTAAGATAAAATTAATACGACATGTAAAAGAACAAAGAGAATAATCTATTTAGTGTGAGCGTGCAAGCAGGGGCGGATCTAGGGGGGGGCTGGGGGGGCTCCAGCCCCCCCTACAACTAGTGCATCAATGGAAATACGGGGAGGGTGAGGGAGAAGAAGAGGTGGAGGAAAGAAGAAAAATGGAGAGAGAGGAAGAAGAAGAGACCAGCCCCTCTTCAATCATGTTCTGCATCCGCCACTACATGCAAGAACAAGTATCGTTGAAGACCAAGTTCAAAAGTTCGCTGTTTGGTCTGAGGAGGCTGTCAGGAGGACCACTGGCTGGTCAATCCATTCATTTTCTGCCAATGATCCTCGTCTGTATTTTTTTTTATTCTCCTGTTTCATTATTGACAATATGCCGATGTGCTAACCAGATGCTCTGCCCGTATAGAAGGATGTCGACGACTTGTTCTTAATCAGATACAAACACAATCATGTCACAATTCCAAGGTTAGCAAAGCAACATGGTCACATTTTTTTTTACTGTAAAAGGGTTTTGCTGGAAAGGCACGTCGTTCAAAACCACTAAACCAGTATACTTTAAACGGTGGAGTACTTTGTGTCAATTTGTTACCATGTCATGTACTGGTATCCCGAGCCTTCAACGGGAGCTAACATACATCAGTTAATAACTTGTCCAAATGTTATGCATTGCATTGAACGGGGTGGTATGGGTGCTAAGCCACTGCGAATAAATAATGCTCCTGTTAATAACTTGTCCAAATGTTATGCATTGCATTGAATAACCATACAGGCAAAGCATTCAGGCTCCAGCCAGAAAAACATACATCAGTCCCAGCTCAGTGCGGGCAACAGATTAACAATATCCAAAGTCAGTAGTAACATCTAGCAGTTCAGGGATCATAAAAGAAATCAACAACCCATACAACATCAATAGAGCACAGTGGCTGACTTCTCCATCGCTTCCCTCGCGCTTATTGTCCCATAGAAATCCTTTCCCAGACCGTGGCCTCTTCACTCGCTTTGAGCATGAGGCACTGGATGATGTCTTCTTGCTGCCGGAGCAGCTTGGTGGTTCTTCATCACAATCCTCATGCACTTCTTCAGTTGAAGCATTGTTTTTGAGGCGCTGCGGCGACACGCGGCGCCGTACCCCCTTAACAACGCCTAGGTGTTTATGGCGGACACCTAGGCGACGCCATACGATCATCTTAATATATAATGATACTAAAATTCAGAAGCAAATCATACCTTAATATTACCAAGTCTTAGCATGTAATACCATAATAAATAATGCTACCAGAGTGATAGTGCACAACGTAAAGTAGCAAAATAGCAAATCTGAAATCTCTCATCACTCAATAGCCACAAATTAATCTTTAATAACATAATATAACTTAATGACTAGTGCTGCAGGGAAAGAAACAGAGGAAGAGGAGGGAAGCAGAGGAAGAGGAGGGAAGCAGGGCTGGAGAGGAGGCAGGGAGCATACGAGGCGGACGGGTAGACGGTCGACGGAGGCGGGCGAGCAGGTGCGGACGGGCAGGAGCTGCAGGTACGGTGCGGACGGACCCCTGCTGGACTCGAGCAGCCAGGAGGAGATGCAGGGGCGGACTCGCGGGAGGTGCGCGTGGCCGGTGGACTTGAGCAAGGAGCGGTAAGCCTCCGCCTCCGCCTCTGCCGCCAAGAAGCAAGGCCACCGCCGCCACCGCCTCTTCTCCTCTCCTCTCTCCGTGAAGCTGCAGCGGCCCGCACCTGTGGTAAAAGCCCTCGAGTGGGAGGTTTTTGCGCAACAGCATATATGCGGCCGATTCCCACCCTTTTCCTTCTAGCGCGGACGCAACGCGGTCGATTCCCGCCAGTCTTCATTGTGTCCGCCCGATTCCCCGCCCGATTCCGTCTTCCTCTCGACTTGCTGCTCCGGCATCCGCCACAGGCCTCTAGGCGCTCGCCCGACGCCTTTCCACGCCTAATCGACGCCTAATCTCATATGGCGGACACCATACGCACGCATGCCATGGCGACCCCGACGCCCAGCACCCTGGGCACGCCTTGTCGCCTAGGCGGCGTCTAGGCGACGCCTCAAAAACAATGAGTTGAAGTATACTCATCATAGTCCAATAGTTTCTTTTCTTGCATTGAAAGTCCTACTTTCTCATTAATGTTTGCTCGTGCCGTACGAAAAGCATGATTTTCATCTTGTTCAGCATAGTTGCGAAACCTGCCCACCAGCCATTCAAAAGTTTCATCTTCATCAGAAATGTATGCAAGTTCAGGATCTCTATTTCTCATTTGAGTTTTCCCTTGTATCATCCTGTTTACCGTCACAAACACTGAATCCTCAAATTGCTTACGTTTAACCCAACAAGGTTTCTTAATATGAAGCTGAATAGGGGTCAAAGAAAATGAAGTTCATAATTACACATATGGGATGATGATAGCTTGAAGAATTGGCAGATAGATACTTCAAACTAACGTATCACTATGTTACCTTCTCGATCCAACTTTCCTCATATGCCAGTGAGCCACAAGTTAACCTCAACAACTTCATCGCCATTGTGCTCAACTCCTTTGCTGCACCGCTATGTAATTCCCACCAAGAAACTAAACATAGGAAAAATGTTACCTTGAATATTGGACTCCAAATAATCATCACCGCAACAAATGACAAACAAACCGAGAAATAACTAGAGCTTCCTCCCAAATGAAACTTACCTGGATCGAGATTCATTTTAGTATGAATGACATGAGCTGTTTTGAAACTCTGTGACCCAGTTCTGTAAAGATTCAATTGATGCACAATTTTCTCTTGTGTAGGTTCATCTTGGTACATTTTATGTATACAGTCAACAACTGCACCTCCGAAGATTCCCGCATCTTCAATTTCATCTTTGGATTGATAGTAGAAGAATGGATTCAGATAAAAAACAGCTAGGTGCAATGGTGTCTTAAGGGCATAATTTAATCTGAAATCTATACAATCCCATATTGGCAAATAATGTTCTTCCTTGTTCTCAAAACACAGGGCAATTTCTATTTTAGCCTTTGCAAGCTCACCATATATGTACCCCATAGAGGGTCCGCCGCCACCCATCCTACTCAGAACATCCACTAGTGGCTCAAAACTGTTTATAGTATAAAGCACCCCATGCCAGAACTCATTACTAACTACTAGGTTATAGAATTTCTTGCCCGCAGCTCCATTTGACCATTTGCTGTCCTCCCATTCTTTGGAAATAAACATACCCTTCAACTCAATCCTCTTGTCATAAATGCTCTTCAAGTTTAAGAAACAAGTGGTGTAATAACTGATCCCAACATGAACTAGATCCCACTGGCTGGTGAACTGACGTGTCATGGCCAACAAATGTGTTTGGCCATAAATAAAAGCAGTGAGAAACCTTGCCTTAGCAATTGTTTTTCTGATCAAACGAATATTGCCAATGTCTTCAAGCATTGAGCCAATGGTATCTGCAGCACAGTAAGTCCAAAACATTTTGGGCCTCTTTTCAATAAGCATTCTTGCTGACAACATTTTTGAATTAATATCTGTGACAACTTGAACCACACTGTTCTCTCCAACTTCTTCAATACAAGAGTCAACTAGTTCGACAACATGTGATTCATCGTCTCCATCTGATGGTAGATGGACGGAACGAAGGAAAAACACACCGTGCGAACAATGGACTGCCAAGTTTAGCACGAAAGATTCATTATCACCAAACCCTCTATTAACAAGAAGAGAACATCCTTCCAATGCACAAGATTTCTTCAGTGCTTCAACTGAATCATTAATAGCCAGAACTTGTCTCTGTAATAATGGCCCATCAATCTCATCTGGAGAGGGACCCTGTAAACCAGGGCCAAACTGTCCAATGGCTTCTAACATTAAGTTGAAACTCTCCAGACAAACAGTATTAGGAGGAATCCCAGCTTCATTGAACCATGTGGCTATACGTTACATAACCTTTTTCCTCTTCTTTTGCATCTGCTTTGCACTGCAGGTAGTTTGTGTAACTTGTCTTTTCTTCATTGCTTGTCCTGTAGTTGACAGAGAAGGCATAAAAAAATTGTCGTTCAATAAACAAAAGCAAGAAAAAGCTACATATGGCGCCTTGCATGATAATTCAGCATCATTTTGATGTGCTTGTATAACTACACATTACAGACAATCCTCACGGTCCGTCGACTACAGACAGCAAACATTATTTTTTTCATTTATTCAAAGTCATCTCCTTAAGAAACACTCCTACCATGAACTATTAATACTTGACACAAGTGACAACTGACAACAGATTTATATAAAATCATCTCTGAAGACCAGCACAGGTGTAAGCTCCATGGCATGTTAATTAACTGATCAACTTAACATAAAGCGCCTGTAACAGCACACTTCATCAACAGGTGCTACTACATTTTCTCTTTCATTCTCTCCGTTCCTCAACCTTACTGTGTACAGCTTACTTTTCTAGTGTGTTTACATATTCAGTCATAATGATCTCAAAGAAATTCAAGAATTGCAACGGAGCAATAGCTAGGTTAAAACTAAAACAAATCATTCATCAGGGGATAAAACCTAACGAGCATGCCAAGCCCTGTAATCGGTATCTGTCCTTCAGCTGCCCTTAATTGTTGTAAGCAGTGTATGAAACACACAAGAAATTAACAAGCTAATCTTCATCAAAGTGATAAAGTGGCTAACATAGCACATTTAACTGACTAATACTAAGGAAGGATGCTATGAGGCCACAAAACAAGTTGGATCAAAATCTCCATAGATTGCCAATTGGTTGGGCCTCCTTATTCAGATGCGCAAGATGGTAAGCAAAGAATGCTTATAGACTAGCAATGGAACCATATCGTTTCCCCTTCTCGTTGATAGTCATCTCGGGACATAAACACAAAAGCACGATCTAGAACGACACAATCCGTCTGCTCCAGCTACTCCATTTTACCAACTGCAGCCCCTCGCAATTTCATCATCTTAGGGTCCACAACGCTTTCAACCCCCGACGCGCATATACATAACCCAACCATCAAGGTTCTAAGTTCGCGCCCCCGAACGAATGCACCTTGAAATCCCAAAATGTAGGGCCTAATCTGCATCCGTAACTAATCTCTGTCGCGCAATGGAAGAAATAACAAAGCAGAAGAAGAAATCTTTTGCGAGCAATCCGTCCAAGGAGAAACGCATGAGAAGGAACCGACCCTGTCGGGAACAAGAACCGGCACCCCCGTTACAGCTTCTGTTCCAGGGCTCACCAACACACGGACCAGGTTTGGGAGCAGCGGGGGTCTGACTGACCTCGGAGGCGCCTTCAGCGACGGAGATGGCGGCGGCCAGGGTAGAGAAAATTGTAATTACATGACGCGAATGCGCTTCTTTAGGACTTCAAATGTCGACTTCGTTAAAATGACCCATCAAACATTAGCATTTTATTATATATGACATTTGGTTTTTTTAATTATTTTTCTCAATTATAATACATGTATTTTGTCATGACGTGACCGTATTGTCTTCTAGACTTTTGTATTCTCGATCGATCAGATTAATACTGCTAGTATATAGGTCCCCGGCGCGGCCGTCTCATCTTGCAGCACCAGTAGGGTTTGGGAGGGTTCCCCGGGGTAGTGAAGTCATGGCCGACGGTAGCATCAAGATCAAGCTCGCCGTGGACAGGGCGCGGAACCGCGTCCTGTCCGCCGTGTGTCTCGTCGCGGGCGCGTCGTCGCCCGGCTGCCTCTCGACCCTCTGCCAGGGCGTGAGCTGCCTCAGGGAAAGCAAGCTGCTGAGGTTTGACGCGTGCCACGACATGCTTCTCCGGCCTCGGCATGAAGAGGAGTTCAAGTATGTTATCTCATCCGCGCTGCCTTTGAATCTAATACATACCATTAGTACCTTAACAGCATTGCTGATCACAGAGGCACAGAGCCGGCACTGATCTGTACTTTTTTCTTCATAAAAAAGGGAGATTTGGTGCTCCTGGCACGGGAAACATGGTTGCAGCTGCTACTTTGGTGCGATCATCAGGAGCGAGCCGAGCCTACAGGGCCACGGCTCGGACTGCAGGTGTTGGCAAGTCATGACCAGAGTGGCGCATCTGTTCGACCAAAAACAAGTCGGATGGAAATTGGTCGAGGGGAAACGGCGGTTTGTGATCAGTGATGACCTGGTGATCAAGCCAGCATCCACCGCCAATACGGTCACATCATGACAAAATACATGTATTTTAGTTAAAAAAAGTGATTAAAAAGACCAAATGTCATATATAACAAAGTGTTGACGTTTTAAGGGTCGTTTTAGCGAAGTCGATGTTCGAAGTCCTATAATAACGAAGCGTATTGTTTCGCGTCCTATAATTACAATTTTCTCGCCAGGGTAGGGTGGCCGGAGTTGGAGGGGCTAAAAGGGTTCTGCAGAGTCACCTGCCGGCTGCCGCTCCGCTCGTGAGGACTGACTACTGAGGCAGCAGAAGCAGACGGCTGGAATCGGACGAGTGCGCCGATGGCCTGCCTATTGGGCTTCTTTGCTGGGCTCGTGCTTGGACCCAAAAGTCGAGTGTGTCGGTTGGTAGGGGAAAATCAGCCCGAAGTGCTGTAGGTCGTGTTTGGATTCAGCTAAACTTTAGCTAGTTAATTTTAGCTATGTTTGGATCAAGCAGACCAGATAAATAGCCAGCCAAAATCCTCCTAACTAATGGAAAACTCATTATCCCATTAGAGCATCTCCAAGAGCCTTTCTAAATCTCACTTTCTAAATCATCATTTATAGCCATTTGCATAAATATCATTTTCTATATCTTTTTATTCTCCAACAGTTTTTCTATATCTCGTGCACACTTTAGAGATCCACTATGGTATTCTATTTTTGGCTAGCGGAAAATCCAAAATAGAAGAAAGCTATATTTGAATAACTATTTAGAGAAAGTTGTTGGAGGGTAGTTTTTCAACAAAATCTATATTCCGAAGGATATGGACTTAGAGATGCTTTTAGTTGGTTGAGAGCACTAAACCCAGCTTAAAAAGTGGTTAAAGTCCAAAATGCCCTTCTAACCTCTCCGTGAAAAATCCCCCTCACCCGCCCGTTCGTCCCCATCCATGCCTCCTCCCGCGAGGGCCGCCGCCGCCTAGTCATCGTTTGTAATCCACCGCGCTTCCTCCCGCGAGCAGGCCATGCCGACTGGCGGCACCGCTCCCCAGCGAACCCGGCGGAGCGTGCCATGGCTCCCCACCACGGGGCCGGAGCGCCGGAATGAGCCGCTCGACCCGCCGAGACCACCATCAGCTGCCACAGAGGTGGCCACGGATGGCGTGTGTGTCAGGTGGCCGCAGACCCAATGCACAAACCCCTCGCGACAACCAGAGTCCTCAGCGTTGGACCCCTCAATGAGCGGCACTAGAGCCTCCCCGCCGGGGCACAGGCTGCCGGAGCGCATGACGATATGTTCTCCAGGTAGTGTTGCAGCACCTTCTCCGCGAGGCGGTGGCGGCGGAGCCACTGGCGCCTTGCGCCGGCGCGGGGTCAGCATCCTCACTGGCGACGCGCTCCGCGGCAGCGCCAGGGACTTCCCTCTAGACCTTGCCGACGCAGGGGGAATAGAAGAAGGGGGAGTCGGGGACATGCAGTGCGACACTGCGCTTGAGTTGGAGTGAAAACGAGGGTGGGAGTGTCGAGTGCTCGATGGTGAAGCAATAGAGATGGAGCGAGGAAGAAATGGCAAATATGGTCAATAAACACCAATTAGCTAGAGGATCTAAGCAGCTCAAGCTAAACTTTAGTTGGCTATACCTTTGCTAGCTAAACTATAGCTGGCCAAATTAGCTGGCTAAAGTTTAGTTGAGGTGGATATAAACAGGACTAATAAAACCATCAATGAAACAAAAAAAACAATGAAAATGTTACTGGCGAAAAACATTTCGGTAACAGAAGGGTGGTATGAAGTGGGCATGTCGTGTTACGGAGACAATAGCTATGAAAGTTTTTGCCAAACATAGATTGTCGTCAAACAACAGCGTATACTGCTTTATTAGTCATGTGTTTGGTGCTTTTTGATAGCTTGGTTTCATCAGTCAAAGGCTGAAACTATAATCAGTGTGCTCGGCTGGACTTGTTGCGGCTGTGGCTGTGGCTGCCGCTGCTGCAGAGCTAATAAAAAGATTAGTTAAGTTTTTTTAACAAAAAAATGTTCTTTAAGCATTGCTTGGTCCTTGATCATGTTTTATGTTTATCTATGTTTCCCTTGCAAATAACTTGAAGTATTTTGCATGTCTATCCCCTTCCAGCGTTTTTTTTTTTGTTCCTAGGAACTATGGCTTCTTTCTCTCAATATATGAGTTATTCTTTCTTTAAGATACTCCATCCATCCTAAAAATAAATCAATTTCTAGCTTTATATTTAGATAAGTAAGTGCTATCTTGATACATTAGTTGATTTATTTGAATTTGGGACAGAGGGGGCAGCGTATAAGAGCATCTCCGAGAGTTCCCTAAACATCCTTCTAATCCTTTTTTTAGAAAGACGGGGAAAACCCCCTCTTCAACAACTCCTAATATATACTCATAATCTTTTAGGACTTGGGAAAAACTCCCTCAATCAGTGTAAAGTTACGCGCCATCCTCATCGCGCGTATCCTCTCCTCCCGAGCGGTTTCCCTCGTGTCGCGGTCTTTTGGCGCGGTTTCTTCTTCCCTTCGCGCCATCTCGTGCCGCCATACAGAGGAGATCTTTGCCGCCAGCGTCGTCTGGAGGAGGTAATCCATCGCTGAACCCAATCTACGTTGCCGTCTTCTTGGTTTTACCGGTGCTAGGGTTTGGCAGCCGTCGCCTGCTGGGCCATGGCTGGCGTAGCCGCGCCTGCCCGAGCAGATGCCGCCGGTGGCCGCCCCTGGGATGCCGATGCTGGGCTTTGGCCAGCCGAGTCCCGCTGGCGGGCGGCCGTGCCTGTCCTTGCGCAGCCGAGGGAGCCCGTGGTTGCGTGCCCGTCTGCTGCCGTTGTGTGGAAAGGTTGCCTGCTTGTATGCTTGCCGGCTGATT